TCCTGCTGTTTAAACTGTTTGCCTTGACCAATAATCCTGTCACCTAGGCAGAGTTTGAGCACAAAGGGCAAAGTTAATCCTTTGCTATGGTCTCATCATTGAAAACATAGTCAAAACTCTAGGTTTGTCCAGGAGTTTTTTTTAAGCTGCCAGTTTTTTTTTTCCTTTTTTTTTTTAAAGCCAGAGTTTTAAACATGGACTATTTCATGTATTACAATCTTTAAAGATTTATTTATGATGAGCACAAAACAGAATCTGCTCTTTATGCCATTAGTTTATAATAAGCACCTGGTCAGTACATAACATTAACAACACAGCATTACATAGGTCCATCACTGTTGTGCTGCTGTTGCTGTGCTAATGTAATATTCTATATTTTAATAGATTTTTTTTTTCCTCATTGTCCAACTGTGAACTATTTCACCTTTTATTTAAATATTATCACTTCTCAGTGATGGGAGGAGAGGGACGATTTTTTTATTTTTTTAACTATGGATGTGTATGTGATTTGATGCGTGTGGATGTACATGGTTTAAATGATAAAAAAACAGACTACACCAAGTATATTAGAAGGGCTTTTTTCCTATTGACCTACATATGTACCTACATACAGTATGTAGGGTAACCAAGTTTTTATTCATTTATTTGTTGTTGTTTTTTTGTTTGTTTTTTTTTACCTGCTTTATTTTCCCAAAAAGTGGATATGGTGACTGTATAGCTAGTGACGATTTTGCCATCACTGTCTCCACTGTAAAGTGAAAGAAAAAGTCACATTAAATGGCGTCACCAGGGCAGTCAGTGGAGAGCTCAGGATGTAGGTCAAATCATTTTCCAAGCTTATCTCTGAGCCAGAAGGAAAGCAACTACAAGATATCTCCATGTGGGGCAGCGATTATAGCTAACTGCATATGGTAATCACCCAGGCATCAGGTCAGCCAACAAGTTGACCTGATGTATATTCCTGTTTAGTTAATGGCTGCCCCAGATGGCAATATCTTGTCGTTGCTTTCCTTTTGACTCAGAGATAAGCCTGAAAAATAATTTGACCTACATCATGATTATTCTGAACTTTCTCTGAGGCCAACCTATTGCCCCAGTGATGTTGTTTAACGTGACTTTTTGTTTCCCAGAATCTCTACAATGGAGGGAGTGATAGCAAAATTAGCAGTGAGTCGCCATACCCACCTTTCTGGGAAATGCAGCAGTTCCATAAAAACTGAAGTTATCCTTTAAGTTGTTTTTGTCCAGTCTGATGTCTTTAAGAGGCTAGACAGGGCTGACAGAAAACACAGATAGGGGTAAATAACAGATTGAGAAGACATCTGAGCACATTTTTATGTATTTCTTCTCATTTCTCGCTTTCACTTCAACACAAACCACCGCTATCATTAATGTACTGTAGAATAAGTCACATATTTAGTTTATCTCAAAGAGACAGTATTATTTTATTTCATTTTGCTCCACTTCTTTGTACACTGGGTACTCCACAAATGCAGCACCATCTCAGTAAGATTCTCTTAATGTCATAGATTTGATATCTCTGTTTTTCGGTATGAGTGACATGAAATGCAAGGATTGCCTTAGTTTTAGGTTGTTTGCAGCTAATGTGACTCAAAGGGGATTTGTGAGTAATTGATGTTACACTTGATAGTGAGATGGTGGATTCTGGGATTGAGATTTATTTTTATACAAGTATTGTTCAGTTTAGCATTTTTGGTGAATGTACCAAAGGAAAGAATGCTAGACTAACCAAGCAAAGACCTTGCTGTCCTTGATTTTCTTGGGTCCATTAAGTTGCAGATGTTTACTTTCTAATTTTGATTTTTTTTTCTTTTCTTTTTTTTTTAAGAAATATTTTTTGTTTTTCTGTTTGATTCATTGAGGACCCAGTCTGTGTTTGAATGGGGTCACAGTGGCATTGGTCTATCACTTTTGTTTCCTTTAACCCTGTTAACTTAATGTGTTGCCCTCTACACAACATGTTCCCCCGATTTCACGCTGTTGCCATGGACACCCCATCCCTATAGCAACTAAGGGCCTTCACAGGCTACCAGGAATTGACAGAGATATGCTCGGAGTTAATACACACATTAGGAAGCAACCACTTGCTATGTTAAAGCCCTCTTGCTCCCATTACAGTATGAATCATAAAGGGATGGTTGTTTTCGAACATCAACTTGTAATGGCATTAAATGAGACACAGTAATTGGTGTGCAATTATGGGGTCCCACTGAAATTTGTCAAAGCTCCTATGGGTTCCTCTGCATAAAGCTGTGGTGGAGCATATTTTCACTGGTATGCTGTGTTCTCAATAAAAAGGTCCTTATTATCCTGTCTTGTCTAATATGTGTTGTATATTATTTCTTATTTAACTCAAGATCTCATTCAGGAGTTATGAGCAAACGTGGTTTAATTCTTGAGCTGTCATTCAGTGATGATTATTTGTACTTGATGAAGGCTGAGGATGATGAAGGGACAGGAAGAGGGTGTTACTAGCCTGCCCACACACTGATGCATGGCTCTGGCAAAAGCTGTGTCCTTGTTAAGAAGAGAAAGAGGAGAGGACAAGTGTGTATACAGCATCTGGATGCTGCTAAAAAAGAACAGAAATTTCCCCACTGTGGGATCAATAAAGTACCTACTCTACTCTCTAACCTGAATCTTTTTGAGATCCTACAAGGCTCAGGTGACCTAACAGTAAATGTCATTTATTAGAATTTAATAATGGATTGAGTTAATTGCAGTAGTAGGCCTAATTTAAAACTCCACCTATCGTCTATACTCCGTATACTTGTTTCTCTGTGTCACATGTTGAGTTGCTCCGTGCATACATGCAGAAACCTGATCACTGCGTAGCCCTGAATTGATTTGACAGATTGACTGAGGTATATGGCGCCCCCAGTGGCCGATATGCTTTATTACTTGTTGTGTGAGCAGCAGCGCAGAAGGCACAGCTCATCTCCATCTCCGCGACTCCTGCACAGCACGATGGACGGACGAAAGACGATAAAACACTTAACTTAGACTGTGTCTGGTCTGAAGGTAGGTCACACTGACAATAGCACATAATTTCGCTTGTTTTCAGGCTTTCTTCTCAGTGCAAATTGTGCAAGTCTGGCTGCGTGACCAGCGGGGAGTTGCGAGTTTAGAGCGCCTTTTGTTTTTACAGTTAGAGTTTTATCACTAATAATAGCTGCCCTTTTAGTGGTGTTGTCTAATGCATGAAATGTTGTGCGTTATGTAAACATTTCTCAATGGTAGTAACTGATTTGTTACATTTTGGCGTGAATTATTTAAATGACTTTTGAAAGAAATGTTTGTAATGTTAGTATGTAGAACGCTGGACAGCTTCTGAAACCTCACACGTCTTCTTCCTCTCCATTTACTTTACTTTCGTCTCTCTCTGAGGTGATGAGCTCAGTGATCAGGCAGTCTTCTGGTCTTCAACCTCTCTGGGTCTTTCCAAGTTCTCCATGAGACATGGCACTACCTGAAAAACCCTCCAGACAATCTGCTCCCAGCAAAGCCCCCCAGCAGCGCACCGTGCGGCACCAGAGCCTGCCCTCCCCTGCTCTGTGCTGCGCCTGTGGTCTGTGCATAATGCTAGCTGGTATCAACATCACCCTGGTGGGAGCTTTCGCCTTTGGCACCTTCATCCCTACTGGCAACCCCCCAATCATCATTGGGCCTCTTCTTTTATTAATAGCCCTGGCTTTCTTCACAGCCTGCTGTGTGGTCAGCAGGAGACCTCCATCCCACATGCCCCAGAGGGCTAAAGGAGGTGAGAAGTGGGGGCTGATACGGATGGGCACAGCAGCATTTGAGATGGAGACAAGTGAGCACACATTGCAGGACACTACGGCTGTCCAGCTCAGCCCCACCAACTCCCCCAGTTCCTCTCAGAAGTCCAGCTCGAGCCATGGGGGTGACGCCGCTCCGACTGGTTGTCAGGATGAAGCCAACGAGCTGCATATGTCAGAGATGTCTGACATGGGTGTCATTACAGATAACTCCATCTTGACCTCTGGCAGTAAGCAGAACACTCCCATGCTGCCTGCTGACAACACATCCTCTACGTAGCATGGACTTTTTTCTATAGCCATGATGTTTGAGTGTTTGATTATTTTGCTGTTCACATGATGGACATGTCTGATATGACTGATAGGACTGACTGGCGCCTTAAATATACAACTGCAAACAAAAGATCCTGATAAATGGTCACCAGGCTTTAAGCCTGTAGTCTGAAGTTTGTGATTTACAAAATCCCTCTGATGATGACTTATTCAGTGTGATTTTGGAGGTTTATTACTCAGTCCCGGGATGTACATTACTATGCCAGGAGCAGAAACAGGAGACCTAAATCCAAGCGCGTTGTATATAACATCAAGTTAAGGCAGATTAACCTGCATTTCATGCCATATGGATCAACTGTGGTTAGTGCTTTTTACTTTTTACAGAACAATGGGAAAGAAGATGAGTGCATCTATCCAAGCTTCTCTGAGTCATGAACATTGCTCCTCTGTAAACCCTGGAAATCTCAGTTTTACACACTTTGACAGATTTATTATTGTCACCTGCAGTGAGTAAGTGTGTAACCTTGGGTTGTGTTAAGATGGATATTCAGGGTCAAATTTGTATTTTACGCTCAGTGAATATGTTTGTCATGTTGTAGCGCCATGATTATAATAGTTGCTACAGATGTTAATACATGTTGTTGACACCTATACACAGTAAAGCAAAAATGTTACTTGATTGTACAGCATGTCACATGGTGTGCTTCTGTTACTGTTCTCTACTGTTGTTTAACAAAAACTGCTTCTTTGTGCAGCATGGACAAAAATAAAGCCTTAAAAGATGCTATTGCATTTACAGTATAGGTTGAATAAGGAAGATGTGTGGGTTGTGATAATTTGTTCATTATTTGAGAAAAGCCAGCAGCTGCAGTGCAAACAGCTTCTTCCTACAATGTTGCCCATCACTTGG